ACGAGGTGAAATTGAATGGCCAGCGAGATCACCGGACCTCACACCCCTGGATTTTTTTCTGTGGGGGGCATTTAAAAACAAACGTCTACGAAAGTAGACCATTAGATCTTAACGACCTTAGAGATAGAATACTTGGTGAAAGTCGATCTATACCAGGTGAAATCTTCGGTAATGTTATCCAGGAGTTTAAGGACAGGTTAGGTTATTGCCTAGCTAATAATGGAGCTCATTTCGAACATTTGTTGTGATTATTTTTAGTGTTTATAACAATAAACAGTTTGAATTAGTTTTTTTACTTGTTCCGTCACTTTGACAGATAAGATCCCTAAACCCCATATTAGTGAATTTGTCTTGCAAAGATCTATCAATATCCGTAAAAATTTACAGGATGTGTCATTTAAAATAAAAAGTTTGCATTTCTATTGACTCACCCTGTATTCTTACATAAGCGATTTCACACTTGAATGATCCGGAGTTATTCGTTACAGAGGCATACCAATTTTAAGAAAAAAAATATTTAGCCGTTTTTAAGATATCACCAATATTCCAGACTTTTTTTACACCCTGTATGTATAAATGATTTACCAATGACGGATTTGGGAGCGAGGTATACTCTCTTTGCCGACGACACCACAGTTTCTGTGTCAGCAGACTGTTTACATAGCGTCTTGGAGGGTTCTGTGGCGGCGCAGGGGGCGGCTGATCAATGGTTCAGAACAAATAGGCTTCTTCTAAACACAGATAAGACAAATAGGGTCGTTTTCTCTATGAGAGACCTTTCAAATTTTGACTCTAATGATGCTGCTGATGTGAAGTTTTTGGGCGTGTATGTGGATCCTCGACTCCGGTTCGATGTTCGTATTGAAAATACTTCAGTCAGATTGAGAAAGAACCTGTACTTGCTGCGTTCTCTTTCTAAAAATGTGTCTCTTCCAACTTTAAAAACGGCATATTTTTCGGTTTTTCACTCCCATCTTGCATATGGTGTCCTTGTTTGGGGACACGTATCAGGTGCACAGCGCATGTTTGGCCTATTAGGGTTTTGGGTAGGGTTGCCAGGCGTCCTGGATTTCGCAGGATGTCCTGGATTCAGAGTCTTGCGTTCTGCGTCCTGCCGGACTTGTCCGCAGGACACCAAATGTCCTGCATTTCATAAAATCCTTACTCTTAGAATATATTTTTTTTTTAACTTCCATTTCGGCTGAGCTATTTTATAATTTAACGTGAGAGGCGCGAAAATGCACCCGCGAGGCAAGGTTATTTAAAAGAGGGAGGTTGCCTGATAACTTTTATGACGTCATCTGTATGCCTGAAAATAGTGAAAATCTCCATAAGGCACCCCAGATGCGTCATCAAGTTACCCATTACCAGACAACCTGGTAACTTTAGTAACCTTGCCCGCACGGTACATTACATGATGTAATGTTGTCTACAATATTTTTGATAAATTCAATATAAATATTTAGGAAAACATGTGAAACTAAGTAAGTACCTACCGAGATCAAGGGGCGGTTTAAAGGGGGGGTAGAGGGGGTAATTACCCCCCCCAGACAAAGTTTTTTTTTATACACCTGAGAATAAAATTTCAACAAAAGACAAGTTCTATAAAGTAAAGCATAGAAGGCATTGTATAAATTGACAGGCTCACCAGTATCGACGTACCTACTACTATACAGTGACAAATACACAGTGAAATAAAGGGTATTTCATTTGAAAAAAAAAAGCTATGTTTGTTTGAAATGTCTAGTTTTGTGTACAGTTACATCAGTATTGCGAACACCCTGTAGAATATTATCAGATTTTCATAGGACCATGAAGTAAATGTAAGTATACACTAACAACCTGCAAAAGATTTAGCTTAAAGATCTCAAATGAATGAAATGTGTTGGTTTTTGTTGACACATGCAAACTGCGATTTTTTGAGAAAATTTCAAATATTTCAAAAAGGGTCGAGTTTTAGTATAGGTAATTCCCGAGGTAATTCCTTACAAAAAGTATGTAGTTTTTAAGTAATGTTAATGTTCTTAAATGTAGGGTTTCCATTTAAAATAAATAAGGTCTATCGCATACCTCATTTGCGGAACACCCTGTATATTCAAAAATATTTTCAACTAATGGACCTTATGGCCATTTCCACCAACTATTTTAGGGAAGCCCTAACGATAGGTATGCCCCACTGATCTCAAAAATAAATGGATAAACAAAAAACGCTTTTAATGCTGCTAATTTACGAGGTCATAATTTAAACAAAAACAACTGACTGGGACAGCTGTGAGCGTGCGCAGTAGATACATGTACTGTGCGTGCACAAAATCCGGCCAATGAAAATGAACGAATTTCAAAATTTAGAACAGTTGTTCGAAAGATAAGACACTGCGCAGGCGTTAGGTTGTTCCGTTGCACAACTGTTCGTAGAATATTGACCCCAAATTTTCGCACAAATTTTGCCAATCAAGCCGTATGATTGTTTATCCATTTATTTTTCAGATCAATGGTATGCCCTAAACTGACATTTCTCCATGTAAAAATGTCAGTTTAGGGAATACCTATCGTTAGGGCTACCCTAAAATAGTTGGTGGAAACGGCCAGTAGAGCATCAAACAACTCTGTAATTTAATATTTTTTTTTCTTGCATCACCCTGAAAGGAGATACCGTCTACTAAGTGGACACCCTGTATAACTATTTTGCCGGCATTACATTTTTGCTTGAGGTGTGTTTCAAACGATTTTCAGGTGCAAATTTGGGCGTGACACCCCAAAAAAAAATCGCCTCCTGCGGGAAGCCATTTGACACTTGATGATTTTCCCGTCATCCATTACCCCCCCTCCCCTCCAGAAAATCATCTATAGACCGCCACTGCCGAGATCGTATTTAATTTAAACCTGATTAGGTATTATTTAACGTATTTTTGGGTATTATAAATATTATTTTTATTTTAGGAAAATGAAAAAGTCCTGATTTTTTTCATTACTGTCCTGCATTTTCTCAACACATGTCCTGCGAATTCAATTTTCAAACCTGGCAACCCTAGTTTTGGGGGGTCTGAGATTTCGGGACGATTGCAGAGCTTCTTTCAAAAGTCTACAGATTTTGTCGCTTCCATGTGTTTTTATACTGGAATGTGTCCTTTATGTCAAAAAAAACAGACATCTTTTCACAACCCATCAGGACCTTCATTATTATCGAACAAGGCACAGGGAGGATATTGCGACTGTCTATTGGCGTTTGGGAAAGTGTCAGAGTGGGCCAGGATACTGGGCTATAAAAATTTTCAATTGTTTACCAAATAGTGTTAAGGATTTGGTGGATTTGGATATGAAGGACTTTAAAAGTAAAATTAAGCAAATTTAATATGTCATTGTTTCTATTCATTTGCAGAGTTTTTAAATTTTGATTTTAATAATGTTTTGTCATAGTTATAGTATTTGAAATGTATCTTGTAACTTGTTATAATGTATTTTATATCCTACTGAACTATTAAAACCATATAATACCTTGGTTACGATAATCATAAACAGGGTCTTAACTCCCAAGGGAGTTAAGGATTTTCATAACTCCCAAGGGAGTTAAGGATATCATAACTCCCAAGGGAGTTAAAGATTTCCATAACTCCCGCTTTTACCTTGAATAGGTAACACTTTGACATAAAATAGAAATTTTGATTTATGGCTTATTCCTTTATAAAAATAGACAGAATACAGTAAATTCAGTAGGATATAAAATTATCTATGTACCACGGGAATTATCAGGAGTTAATACCCACGGGCAATTGGTGTCCCTCGGGCCGGAGGCCCTCGGGACACAAACGTTGCCCTGGGGTATTAACACCTGCATAATTCCCTTGATACATAAATAACTATATTTGTCACTCATTTGTAAAACGTCACTTATCAAGTCAAAACATAACCAGCGAAAATTGATTTTTACAAGCTACTGGCTCTACTGACTTGTAAAATTGACAGCTAAACTGTAAAAACTTTTTACAAGTCAGTAGAATTATTTATTTTTGAAAAATCGGTTTTATCACAAGAATAATTGCTTGTAGGTACCTTCTGGGAGACTTTTCTGGTGATAAACTGTTGGCTACGACTGAGGCTTCATTAATAATATCTTGTAATAAATTCATTTCTGGAAAAAAATTGCAAAATGGAAATCTGTCAAAAAACCTATTTATAACTAGAAACAACGTCTTAACAACGTATCATTCTCATAGTTATACCAACTACCAAAACTTCTGTGAGAAAAAATCAAGGAAAAACATATAAATTTCAAATTTTTGTTATGTATTGATTTTTTATTTGTCCCTATATCTTTTACAAATGAGTAACAAATAAATTATTGTACATTATACGCCAGGTAGCAGTTTTTACTGGCTCTTGAAGGTGACAAGCGAGCCGCCAGGCGTCATTTCCTTCAATCGCCAGTAAAAACTGTTTTACCTGGCTAATAATGTAAAATACTATTAAGTACCTATGTATTAGGCATTTCAATCCATCTGTCAGATAGGAAAATTCAATATGGCGTGGCGGCCAAGCAAGTTTGTTTTGAATGTGTTTTTATGCGTATTTCAAATTATTTTGCTTGGAGCTTTACTTGCAACTTTGATTTGGATTATTTAATAAAATATTTGTTGACTAGGTACCTGAACTAATAAATCGGGCAGAATCTAGATATTTTTTGTGTTTTTTGGCCCATGTGTGGCCGCCACGCCATCTTGAAAGTCACCTGGTTTGAATTGCCTAATTAGATTTATATTTTGATTTGACGTGTGTAAATTGCTTTGTGATAGTTGACATAAATAAATGATTGATTGATTGATTGATATTTTTTCCGAATTTGAACTCACTTTTTCCGAATTTGAATTTACTTTTTCCGAAATTAACTTTACTTTTTCTGAAATTGATTTGACTTTTTCCGAAAATGACACATTTTCCTAAATAAAAGTTACTTTTTCCGAAATTGAGGTTGAAATAGTGTAGTTTCACCGAAAATTGAGGATTTTTATGATCGGGCAATATCCAATCAATACTTACCAATATAACATACATATAACATTTCGAATTATTAATTTGTTTCATAGAAACTGGGCTTTAAAAATATGCTATGTGACACCTTCACAAAATGTCAGTGATTTACAAAGCATGAAATTTTTCTATATTTTACTAATTTTTACACAACTTTTTTCATGCATTTCAGTATCATACGCACCATTTAGAGAGCACGACCAGTCAATAAGAAAGGCAATTGATTTTGATGACTCTACTACAACCCCAAGTACTTCGATCGAATATCTCAACTTTGCGTTGAATTACATTATTTTCAGATAGAGAGCAGTGTTGTGGCTGTAGGAAAGATTGTTACTGTTTGTTGAATTGCAACAAAACACTACCAAAACCCAAGAAAATAATAAATCCCTTCAAATACCAACTCGAACAAAAAGTACCTCAAAAACCTTTCGGAAGTCTTTGTGTAAAATGCGCCGCTTGTCTTGCTGTTGCGAGTGAGGTGGAAAACTTAGGTACCAACATAAAAACTCCCAAACTTATATTATTATTTTTTAGATACAAAATGTTATAGAAAGTGCCAGTCAAGAATGCGAGACTGATATGGAAAACAAAAAAGTTTTACTCCAAGAAATCGACGAAAAAATTAATAGGCTTTGTAAAAGAGGATTTACAAAGTAACTAAAAATTTAATTAAATGGGGTGTGACCTGGAAATAAAAGTTTAAGTGCAAAAGAATCCAAGTATTTGAACCGCATCTTGCTATGATGAACTATTTTCGAGCTAGGGCGGTATAAAGTTATTAATGCCTAGGCTGTGACGTCACAGCGGCTTTTGAGCACACGCGAAATTTTCCAAAACAAATAAAAGTCAACTATCTCACTAGAGCAAATTCAACCATTGAAAGTATATGTTCGGTTTGGTTCACTGATTACTGAACAAACGGAAGGCTCCGATTTTGGCGGTTAGCCGGTGTGTCGTTAAAAGCTCCTCCATAATAAGAGATTTTCTCGGATACTTTTTTGAATATAGGAGTGCGGTTTGTACGATAGATCCTAGATTATTTTTCTTGATTTAATTAGCTTAAGTTATTATTTGGGTCACACCCCCTAAGGTCTGCGCTCAGCGCTATATCCACCATAGTCGAATGGATGAAATGTTATCAGCTTGCTAAACATTGTCCATTTGAGGAACAAAAATACTGGATCTTGATTAAAAATAACTCAAAATTTCCCAAAGTAACTCCACACGACAATAAATTATAGCTTTTGGCAATTGCAAGAGTGGAAAGAAATGTCTCACACTTTTTTATAAAGTTCACCGGTGTGTGTAAACAAAAATTGATCTATTGAATCAATTGTCTGGCTAGCCAAACGGCGAACTGCAATAGAATTTGGTGCTTTGCCAAACTTGACGGAAACAGTAATAAACAAGTTGGTGATTTTTTTTTTTGCCATATGGGCATGTGTAATATTTTGAAATAAAAAGAATCCGGCAACATTGCGAAATGATGGATGTGGAGAGGCGTGATTATTCAGAGGCATGATTCTATTGGTTAGAGCCTGAACGACAGCACAGTGGCGTGGTTATTGGCGAAACTCAAAAAAAATTCTAATAATTTTATTGGTTCATTTCCTTGGTGTTTTCAGTGCCACTGAACCCAAGGACATGGCTATCATCGAACGGTATCAGTTGAGGTGTCAGTAAATATTCTTAGGTTACGCCCACTTTTCTTCCCCCTTTCGTCTCTATCAACTTACCACTTGCCAGACTATATAAGGTCTTTGAAAGAAATTAAAATTCGCACTGGATTTTCTAAAGGCAGCAAAGTAGCAGCAAGCAGCGGTTTGTTTCCGGCATTGTTATTTACTCGGAAACAGAGCTCAAGAGTTTGCTATACATATAAAATTCCTATTTCCTATAAGGAAAAGTTTAGATATGACGAACTTTCAAAAACAAGTTGATGGCGAATTGCCAAAGGGCCACCAAAGAAAGTTCTGTAATGTGGTTAGTGCACTGTTAGTGAGGAAGAGTTGTTGCCTGAATCTGAGCACTTTTTTTTCCTAGGGATCCGAAATGGCAATACATGCCATATAAACAGTGGATAGCCTCCCTTCTCTCCCAAATTTATAGATATCCATGGGAGGAAATCTTTGGCAACCCAATCACCATTTAAAATATCTACCTAACAAACTAAAAAAAATACATAATCAGCTATGGAAAATCCACCTTTTTTTTTCCACAACAAAATTTAAATGCGATGAGACTTACGTAGATGCAGCGCGCAGCGCGGGTGCTATGGTGAAATTAATTAAACAGTGTATGCACGTGATCAAAATTAATGACATAAGCACGTCGCAATGTTGCCGCTATTAACTTTCGTTTTACTTTTACATTACCATGTCTAGTAAAATTTGTTATCACTAAAGCAAATAAACATCGATTTTTATATGCATATATAGTGTATTATGAACACAATCTAAAAAAACTACTCACTTTTCGTCGTAAATTTGATTGCGAATAGAGCTAACATCAAGGTGATTTTGATTCGTAACCCGCTTCTTATGTGGACGTTTTTTTTTCGTGAATTTAACGCTAAATTATCCCTAACTTCTTGAGAGATTTTACATTGGATTTTACTCACAGTGGTTATACAAATATTCAGTGCAGCAGCAAAACGCTGGAAAAATATTCCCAATTAAAGCCCCAGAAGATTTATATTTGATAGTATCAATCAATATACTTCACCTCTTTAACGCTATTTAATGGTAAAAGGGGGCCCCCATCTCGTTCCTGTTCAAAGAAACTAATTATAGACTGTGAGATAGGGGCTGTTTAGTGGAGTCATTTTGTTTTGTCTGACATTTTGAGGGATGAATGTGGCTACTAAGCTGATGAGAATATGGCTGATTTTAATGCCGGCCTCCCGTTCGAAAATTTGCAGAAGAAAAAAAATTGATTTACATGAAGAATTTTTTTTTAATGATCTCAATTTTTTTGGCTTCTAAATAAAAGATTGACAATGATAAATAATTCACCCATAAAAAATACCAGATGCTTTTCAATAGGTGAAAAAGTGGGGATGAGTGTCAACTTCCAAGAGAAAAGAAAAGAACCTTCCGCGTTTACTTTTTGTCTGGTAATCGAGAGAACGGAAGGTTTTGTTGTGAAAATAACGCTGAAAAATCGCCAGACGGTAATCACAGTTCGGAGTCGAGTTTTCCGGCGAAACATTCTGTGGACATTTCGAACAGGAGGCAGGCATTAAAACCACCTATACTCTCATTAGCTAACTAGCCACATTCATCCCTCAAAATGCCAGACAAAAAAAAATGACTCCACTAAACAGGCCCTATCTCAGGGTCTATTAGAGACGCAACGAGTTTCTGACTCTGACTATTCAATGACTTTGGCATTTTATAGATACACAAATAGAAATAATTTCAAATTATTAAAATCAGTAACCGCAGATTTGCAGCAATATTTGGCAACATAACCCATGAGTGCCAACCTAAATGTCATTTTATCGGTCGATTCGGTTAAATGCCAACAGTGTTCCTGTCTTTTTTTAACTAAGGTTAAATAAAAAGGAGAATGAGCTCTCAGCTTGAAACGAATTTTAATTTCTTACAAACTGCAATTGGCAATAATTTCGACGTCATTGATCATGTGCAATGTGCATACACTATTTAAATAATTTCACTATACATTACTGACTCGAGCAATCGGCAATCCAATGAAATTATTTTTTTTTAGCTTTGATTTGAGATCTTATGGAAACCATAAAATAATAACAAATAACTTCGAATGTACCAAACATGTAACTTCGAGTATGGATGGGAGCTGGACAAAAAAGTAAATTGATAATTTTTTTAAACTATTACACTTGATTTGATTGAATTTCAGATTAAGAGACATTTGCAGTTTATACATATCAAGAGCCGACACTAAAACAATAAGTTTAACAGTGTTAGACTCAATGGGGAACCTTACAGATATATTTTGCAGGTAAAAATGTTTCTGAGAAATAAAAATGTTGCTCCATTAACTCAGAATAAAGTTTTCATGTACAAGGTACAAACTGTTGAGTTTCACTCATGTGACTCATAAATGAAAATTGTATGTAAATTATAAACTAGATAATGAAAAACTAATTTTCAGGGGTACCGGAATATTTCGTGACTGTAGCAACATAAAGTCCCATGAAAATATTGTTCTACCGACCTGCAATACCTTGAAATGTCATTGCTCAAACTGGATAATGAGTTAGTCATATCATTGGTCATATGAATGAAACACTTTTTTTGAAAACTAAAATTTATTATTTATAAGTACTCCTACGTAATTATTGTGGAAGAAAAAAATATACTAGAAGAATTCAGAATGATATTGATACATTGTTAAACATCGTAGAAGTAGTACATTTTCCTAATTACCAGTAGAGGACGCATACAAAAAAAACCTTAAGACTAGCTTAAATATTACAAAAAAAATAATTATGTATTAAAACTGAAATGAATAATTGTTGTCTTTACAATTATGATATCATTATCTAAGAAAATCAACAATTGTCACTGCTTTATAATCATGGAAAAAAATAGAACGTATCGTAAACCACTGAAAAGTTTTTTTTTTTTTGAAAATGCTCAAGTACGGTATTAAGCCACTTTTCTTCGGGACTTTGGTTTTTTACATGATCCAATGTTCGTGACTGTTGACACGTTCTAAATAAATCAAAATTAACATGATTAAAATGTCATATGTAAAATTGAAGTGAAATGGAACCTTGGCTTATATTTAGGCTTTTTTTTTAATCAGTTAGGTAGCTTAAATACTGATCATTTAACCTCCACCACAATTTTATTCTTGATGCATCATAGATCTAGCTTGTGCCTTGACTCGTTTCTCATACTCCAAACGGTTTTGACAATAGATTGTGTAAGCTTCAGCTTGGGCTGGATCCTTAACGTTTGGTTCATTTAACAAATCTTGGATACCTATTTTTTTCATTGACAATAATTATATTTTGTCTGTGATCCAGCAGATCAAAACTTACCCAGTAAAATTTGCTTAATGGTGATGGCTGGGCGCCAGTCCTTTTCCTCATCTAAAAGCGATAAACAAACTGTTCCTGACGGGTAGACATTAGGGTGGAATAGCGGTGGTTCGAACTTACATTTCGGTGGACTGCTGGGGTAATCTATTTGATAAAAAAATGGTTAATAGGTATTTTAGTTCCTAATTTCTACATCTGAATTATTACCTTCTTTGAACAACATTCTGAGTTTATAATGTCCCTCTTCCCATGGGGTGCCCTTTTTTCCTGGAATGGAGCATTCCCAATTCATCAAATTCAAAGATCCATCAGCATTTTTCGAAGGGCGTGCCACAAATCCGAAAGGGTGGTCTTTGCGCCATGCTTTTCTCTCTTCTGCCAAACGAGTTGCAGCAATTCCGGACATTTTTTGACTGTAACGAAAGGTTTGAAATAATAGATAGATACTTGTTTATTTGTTTCAATAACACTCGAAATTAAACATATAAAATGTTACATTGTAGCCCGAAAAGGCGTTGAACATTGTTAAAGATTCTGAGGTTGGGGTGGCTACCGCCGGAGGGGTGGTTCGGGGAGAGCTGCAAAGTACCTTGTTTTGGTTCCCCCTTCCCACCCTCCCAAACGAATTTTTCTTTTTTTTTATCGATTACTGTTTTCAAGATATAGGCCATTGACAGTTTTCGGTTGGACACACGGTATAAAGTGTGTTATATCATTGTGATTGGAACGAGGTATTCTATCAAACACTAAACACATATATAATATACAGAATGTTTCATTCAAAAATACATAAGCAGTCACAACAATTAAGCTAAGACAAAATTATGTTATTTATGTAGAGAGACAGTGAATCAAACATTCATGTTTACATAATGTTCATAAAATCACTAAGAAACAATTTTCGCATAGAAATTGCTTTAATTTATCCTTGAATCTCTTTTCAGTCTGTCAGGTTTTTATGTCACCTGACACGTTCTGACAATCTATTATACACCTTTATGCATGCATATTATGGAGACTTCTCAAACAAAGCAATGGCTATGTCTTGGAAGGCTAAGTTCATTGCCTTTCCTAGTAGAATTATAGATGATTTGATTTTCTCAATTTTTTTACAAATCTATCTTTGTTTCTATGAGCATACAGTGTGTATCAGCCAAATTTTTGTATACAGGGTGTTCCAAGAGCAGCTGTACCGTTATCAACTTTATTTTTTTCAATGGTACCCACATTATATTATACCATTTCTGGATTCTGCGGAAAGTTCCTATACTTAACTGTTTCGGAAATATTGACAGTTGAAAATGGACTTTTTTGCATCTCTGACAGACTGTAAAACCTAAATGGTTGATTTCACAGCAAAACCGATCATACATTCTTGTCGGCTTTTCATAAACCATCATTTGACACCAACTTTGAATTTAATCCATGGTTAAAAATTCCGATTAAATTTAATCTCCGGTAAATTTAAGTTGGTGTCAAATGATAGTTTATGAGAAACTAAGAAACTAAGACAAGAATGAAAGATCGGTTTTGCTCGGAAACGAACCGTTTAGGTTTTACACTCTGTACATTAGCTTTATTTTGGTTTCACTCAGAACTAGTTAATCATTCTGCACATGCGCATATGTATTATAAAACGCGTTTTCGTTTTTTCAGAATCCTAATCGAACTGTGTTGACAGTGTTTTGGTTTATCCAGAACTATTTAAGAACAATTCTGGGATTGTTCTAGAACGGTTCTCTCAGTTTTTGCTCTGAAAAAGGAACTAAAGTCTGTTTTTTTTTAAAGATAAAAGTCAAAATGACATTATGTTGCCAATACAATGTAAAATTTTCAACGCTTTCAAATTTTTTATGTAGAAAAGGTTTGTGTTGCCAACATAGTTACTAAATTTTTGACTTGGGGAATTATCTTTAAAAAAAAAACAGACTTGTTTCAGAATTTTGTGATTTGCGGCATGTTTTGGTTTTTTTGGTTCCGAATCGGTTCAGAACTAGTATTAGAACAGTCCTCTATTATTTTTTGTGCACAACCAGTTCTGCGCAATCCCAGAACCGTTCTAAATATCGAACCAAAACAAAGCTTCTGTCAAAGTTGCGAAAAATGTGAAAAAGACAATTGAACCCTATGCTGGAACAACGTTTCAAACGCCAAATATACCAAACAAGCGCGAAACTAGGGCGAGGTTGGACTTAAAATGTTGTTCCACAAAAAGGACATACTGGGCCTTTTGAAATGGCATCAACAACTCATCAAAAAAAAAAATATCCTATGACCCCACTATTAAGTTGGCGAATTATCCAGGGTACATATAATGTAGTTCCATGGATATACCGTTTTTACACATTGTCGTTTACAACGTTGTTCCAGCATAGCATTCAATTTTTAACTGTCGATATTTCTGAAACAGTTGCGGATAGGTATAGAACATTGTACTAGGTGTTTATTTATAACTGGAACACTCAGTAACTTTCATATATTATTGAAAATAAAGGGCATGTTTAAGCTGGAAAATTTCTTGGTAAATTGCATCCTCAAGCGCTACAACGATATTTTTTTGTCGTCAAAGGTTTACAGGGTGCGCCAAAAAGGTATTTTTTTTTTTTTTAATGGAATGCCCTGTATATTTTTGTTATACAAATAATTATTTGCTCGATTATTTGATATGTTTATGAAGTTAACTTTCTGAGAATGCAAAAATATACAGGGCGTTCAATTTGAAAAAATGACTTTTTTGGCACACCCTGTATACCTATGGTGACAAAAAAAATCTCGTTGTAGCGATTAAGATCGTTGCAATTTACCAAGAAATTTTCCAATTTGAACATGCCCTTTATTCTCGATAATAAAAAAGTTACCGAGTGTTCCAGTTCAGGGTTATCCAACGAAAGTGCTTTTTACCTAGTATACCTGTTAATTGAAGATGTACAAAAAAATGTTAAATATAAAAGTTGTTGAGATTTTTATGAGGAATAAGGAGCATTTTTTTTTTAAATTTTTTTAAAAAAAAGGCGGGTTTAGAAAATATAGCAAAAAATTTAACATTTCTTGCTTAATTTAAATGGAATAACCCATTTTTGAATATTTTTTTATTTATTTCATTATTTCTGACCCCTAAACAGGTAACTGATATCAGAGCCTTATAAATACTTTATTTGTTAACTAAATTCTAGTAAGGTTATGTTTACTTATTCTAATAATTCAATTCCATTCATTCAATATTATTCAACAAATCAATAAATATACTATTAGTTATGCATTCAGGTTTTCTTTTAAGTATTTTTTAAAATTATTTAACATTATGTGAACATTTCTTGCTCTAGTTACATATTCAGGTACATTGTTATATTGAAAGATACTTCTATTGATTGGCGAGTCTTGTGCTTTTTTTGTTCTTGCATATTCACATCTAAAGTCCATTTTTTTCCTTACATTATGATTATGATAATCTTTGGCTTGTTTTAATTCGGTATTAATTTTAATGTTTTTATGTTTGATTTTATATATCAATTTCACTTGTTCAAGTGTTTTCAGTCTAGCTATGTTAAATATTTGGGTTTGTTTATAAACATCTTCTATTGCACTATAATAATCAATTCCATAGATGGTCTTTACAGCCTTATTTTGAACTCTCTGTAGTTTTTGTAGTAGATATTGAGCGGAATTTGATCAGCATGGCATCAGGTATCTTAACTGTGATTCAATAAAGCTATTATATAGTACCTATCGTTTGTGTTTTAATATTGAGGAGTTTAGAACATCTTCTTACTGCCCCTATAAATGGTGCTAGTTTACTGATAAGCTTTTGAATATGGGTTGTCCATGTCAGTTTGTTGTCTATGGTTAATCCCAAATATGTATACTCACTAACTTCTTTTAATTTGACATTATTTAATGTTAAATTTAAATCACCACTTTGCTTATTTTTTTGTTTGAATACCATATATACTGTTTTATTTGTGTTTATTGTTAATTTATTTGCACATAGCCACCTATAGTATGTGCTCAGATCATTATTTATTTCATTTTCAAGATCACTTAATTTATCAGCCGAATAAACTAAGGTGGTATCGTCAGCAAACTTGAAGTATCTAGCCTTCAGACCGGCATACTTTAGATTATGGACATATAGTAAGTATTCGATAGGTCCTAGAACTGAGTCTTGTGGGACGCCCACTGCAACTGATGTTTTTTCGCTATAATGTTTATTTTCTACAGTATAGTGTTGTCGACCTGTAGAGTATGTCTTGAATAAATCATATGCAACTCCTCTTATTCCCATTTTCCACATTTTGTCCATCAATAAATTAATATCAACAGTGTCGAATGCCTTTTTTAAGTCCACATATATTACAGTTACATATTTATTCCTGTCCAGCTCAGATGTCACATATTCCAGGAAATCCACAGTTGCTCCTAAGGTATTACTCTTCTTCTGGAACCCATATTGATATTGATCAAAATTGAACTTGGTTTCAACAAATCTCACAAGTCTGATTTTTATAATTTTTTCCAAAATTTTTGAAAATGTATTAAGTACTGAAATGGGTCGGTAGTTGTTGAGGTCATTATGGGGTCTATTTTTATATATAGGAGTTATTTTTGCAGTTTTAAGTTCATCTGGAAATTTACCACATTGCAGACAGTTATTTATCAGTTCTACTATGCTTTCCCCAATAATGTCAAAAAGTTGTAATATTGTCTATTCCAGGTGAGGAGTTGTTTTTTATTTCCATTATAGTTTTTTGGACTTCAGGTAAATCCGTGGGTACTAGAAATATTGTGCTCTGTTGTTCTTTGTCTTCAAATTGGTGATTCACTGTGGGTATTTTGTTTGCCAAGTCTCGGCCTACATTAGCAAAATGATTGTTAATTGTGCAATTTCTTCTACATCTTCCACAATTTGGGTGTCCGATATTTTTACTTGTCTGATTTGGTTTTGTTTTTTTTTTATTTTCTTTACTGCGCAATTCATTCAATAGATTCCCAGGTCTTCTTCATGTCATTTCCAGCATTTTTGATTTTTTTTTCTGCATACTGTTTTTTCAGATTATTTCCCAAATTGTTCACTTCAGTCTTTGCTATTTTAAAATTTCTTTCTTTATATTCATTTGGGGTTTGTTTCCATCTCACATAATATTTATCTGGTTCTATAATCTTTTTTTTTGTATTCTTGTGTAGCCCAGTAATTTTGGTTTATTATTTTGATTGTATACTCAATTGTGTTTGCTTTCTTAGTATCATTTATTACTCTTGCTAATTGTTCAAATGTTGTAGTCCTCTCATTTGCTAATATAGTTTGTACACTTTGCCTCCATGCTTCAATGTTTGTTTTAGTTCGGGTTACTTTCTCTTTATTCCATAGGATTTTATCTTTTTTAACATTAATAATAGTTATTTTTGTATCAAGGGC